TCAAGAGAGATATTACCCATTCTTAAATTCAATGAAACATCTTTTTCAAAATAAGTAATAAATATTGAGGTTCGGCTGATTATTAAGAGATGGCGGAATTTCGAATCGTTCAGCTCAATCTTCTTAATAGGGAGTTTTAGATTTGCACGTCGACATAGTGGACTGCTACGTGTGACGTACTTTTAAGGCACTACGTCACACGTAGCAGTCCACTATGACGACGTGCAAAGTCCATATCATACCCTATAGAGAGAGAGAGAGAGAGAGAGAGAGACAGAGACAGAGACATCAGAGAGACAGATAGAGCAATAGAAAGAGCGATTGGGCAATTTTTCTTTTTTAAAGAAAAAGTTGAGTTCTGGTCATGCAGAGGCACGTAGCCACGGGGGAGGGGGCCACGTGCCCCCAAACATTTCCAAGATCAGATCGAATTTTTTTTAGACCCCTCCCTAGGACGTCGATCAAGTACATGGATGTGCCCCCCACCCCCCCCCCCCAAAAAAAAACATCAAACTCTGGCTACGGGCCTGGTCATGCGATTACATTATAGTCTCCGAGCACATGGGATTGAGTAATTAATTGATTGGTTGGTCGATTTTGTTCTTATTCAATGCAGAATTAACAAAGTATAATTCACTTTGCAAACCGTGAAAACTTAGGGTAATTTTCATAATTTTCATAAATGAAATAAAACATGTGTCTTCTTTTTTTGTATTCGTTTGGGAAAAACAACTTTGCAAATCGTAGCAAACCGAATAAAATGAAAGATTTTATACAAATTGATGAAAGGCTTATAGACTAAACACTGCGATTACTATTCCCTCTCTGTCTATCTCATTGGAGAACAATCTCACTTTAACAACAATTTTTCAAACTTTCGAACTTTGATTTGATGTTATGTATTAAATGCTAATTCTGTTTCCTTGACTTATCACCTATATTTCTTCTAAATCGCTTAGAGGCATTATGCCATTTACGGTATAGGAATAACTTGTTATTATTCATATTTTCTTCAGGCCGTTCAAAGTGGGCCTCTTTTGACCCAGTATCGCTCGTAAGTTCACACGACTTCTATAATTATTCAGGCTTGGTGGTATATTCAATGGCAGATCAAATAGCATGGAATGATTATTGTATGTCTGTATTCCTATTGTCATTATTTATTTTTTTATATAACGGATTAGTCTTTTGGATAAACATCGAGCCCTCAAGCCTCAAGGGCCTCGAAAAAGTGCAAACTAAATGTGTTTGTGTATAAGCGCATGAAGATATTTTTAAGCAATTTTGTCCTATTCACATATATTTTGCAGATTGCATTATATGTGGCCTTCTTTTGTTCTATTGTACCACGAATATAATTTACTCACTCTGGCAGGTACCTCAAAAGAGATATTACCCATTCTTAAATTCAATCAAACATCTTTTTCAAAGTAAGTAATAAATATTGAGGTTCGGCTGAATATTAAGAGATGGCGGAATTTCGAATCGTTCAGCTCAATCTTCTTAATATGGAGTTTTAGATTTGCACGTCGACATAGTGGACTGCTACGTGTGACGTACTTTTAAGGCACTACGTCACACGTAGCAGTCCACTATGTCGACGTGCAAAGTCCCTATCATACCCTATAGAGAGAGAGAGAGAGACAGACAGACAGACAAAGACATCAGACAGACAGATAGAGCAATAGGAAGAGCGATTGGGCAATTTTTCTTTTTTAAAGAAAAAGTTGAGTTCTGGTCATGCGCAGGCACGTAGCCACGGGGGAGGGGGCCACGTGCCCCTAAACATTTCCAAGATCAGATCGATTTTTTTTTAGACCCCTCCCTAGGACTTCGATTAAGTACATGGATGTGCCCCCCACCCCCCCCCCCAAACATCAAACTCTGGCTACGGGCCTGGTCATGCGATTACATTATAGTCTCCGAGCACATGGGATTGGGTAATTAATTGATTGGTTGGTCGATTTTGTTCTTATTCAATGCAGAATTAACAAAGTATAATTCACTTTGCAAACCGTGAAAACTTAGGGTAATTTTCATAATTTTCATAAATGAAATAAAACATGTGTCTTCTTTTTTTTTATTCGTTTGGGAAAAACAACTTTGCAAATCGTAGCAAACCGAATAAAATGAAAGATTTTATACAAATTGATGAAAGGCTTATAGACTAAACACTGCGATTACTATTCCCTCTCTGTCTATCTCATTGGAGAACAATCTCACTTTAACAACAATTTTTCGAACTTTCGAACTTTGATTTGATGTTATGTATTAAATGCTAATTCTGTTTCCTTGACTTATCACCTATATTTCTTCTAAATCGCTTAGAGGCATTATGCCATTTACGGTATAGGAATAACTTATTATTATTGATATTTTCTTCAGGCCGTTCAAAGTGGGCCTCTTTTGACCCAATATCGCTCGTAAGTTCACACGACTTCTATAATTATTCAGGCTTGCTGGTATATTCAAAAATAGCATGGAATGATTATTGTATGTCTGTATTCCTATTGTCAGTATTTATGATATTGGTATGCGGGTTCAAATTCATCTGGGTCTCTCGTATTGACTACATTTACCATGTTTACAGGCGTGAAATTAAGATATCATCTTATTTAATAAAGGATTAGTCTTCTGGATGAACATCGAGCCCTCAAGCCTCAAGGGCCTCGAAAAAGTGCAAAATAAATGTGTTTGTGTATAAGCGCATGAAGATATTGTTAAGCAAATTTGTCCTATTCACATATATTTTGCAGATTGTATTATATGTGGCCTTCTTTTGTTCTATTGTACCACGAATATAATTTACTCAGTCTGGCAGGTACCTCAAGAGAGATATTACCCATTCTTAAATTCAATGAAACATCTTTTTCAAAATAAGTAATAAATATTGAGGTTCGGCTGATTATTAAGAGATGGCGGAATTTCGAATCGTTCAGCTCAATCTTCTTAATAGGGAGTTTTAGATTTGCACGTCGACATAGTGGACTGCTACGTGTGACGTACTTTTAAGGCACTACGTCACACGTAGCAGTCCACTATGTCGACGTGCAAAGTCCATATCATACCCTATAGAGAGAGAGAGAGAGAGAGAGACAGAGACAGAGACATCAGAGAGACAGATAGAGCAATAGAAAGAGCGATTGGGCAATTTTTCTTTTTTAAAGAAAAAGTTGAGTTCTGGTCATGCAGAGGCACGTAGCCACGGGGGAGGGGGCCACGTGCCCCCAAACATTTCCAAGATCAGATCGAATTTTTTTTTAGACCCCTCCCTAGGACGTCGATCAAGTACATGGATGTGCCCCCCACCCCCCCCCCCCCCCCCAAACATCAAACTCTGGCTACGGGCCTGGTCATGAGATTACATTATAGTCTCCGAGCACATGGGATTGAGTAATTAATTGATTGGTTGGTCGATTTTGTTCTTATTCGATGCAGAATTAACAAAGTATAATTCACTTTGCAAAACGTGAAAACTTAGGGTAATTTTCATAATTTTGATAAATGAAATAAAACATGTGTCATCTTTTTTATTATTGGTTTAGGAAAAACAACTTTGCAAATCGTAGCAAACCGAAGAAAATGAAAGATTTTATACAAATTGATGAAAGGCTTATAGACTAAACACTGCGATTACTATTCCCTCTCTGTCTATCTCATTGAAGAACAATCTCACTTTAACAACAATTTTTCGAACTTTCGAACTTTGATTTGATGTAATGTATTAAATGCTAATTCTGTTTCCTTGACTTATCACCTATATTTCTTCTAAACCGCTGAGAAGCATTATGCAATTTACGGTATAGAAATAAATTATTATTATTTATATTTTCTTCAGGCCGTTCAAAGTGGGCCTCTTTTGACCCGGTATCGCTCGTAAGTTCACACGGCCTCTATAATTATTCAGGCTTGGTGGTATATTCATTGGCAGATCAAATAGCATGGAATGATTATTGTATGTCTGTATTCCTATTGTCAGTATTTATGATATTGGTATGCGGGTTCAAATTCATCTGGGTCTCTCGTATTGACTACATTTATCAGTTTTACAGGGATGGAATTAAGATATCATGTTATATAAAGGATTAGTCTTTTGGATGAACATCGAAAGATTTTATACAAATTGATGAAAGGTTCATAGACTAAACTCCGCGGGGTATTTCTTATTCAAATATACGGTGGGAAAAATTGTCATCATCTTCAATCAATAAAAGTAATGAAAACCTTGAAGGATGACCTTTATATTGGAATATCCACCTCAGTCTGTGCACGTGTGTGTGTGTGTGTGTGTGTGCGTGCGTGCGTGCGTGTGTGTGTGTGTGTGTGTGTGTGTTTGCGGGGGGGGCTTATATTAAAATACTCAACTCATTTGACAAATGGATAATTATTTAGACGAAGATTTCTTCAGCATTGATGTTCTCTTTATTCTTTAATGTCAATGTGTCAATACCTTTTTCTTAATTAATGACATTTTATAACGGTCATAGGGAACATTACAAATTGTGCAAACACTTACAAAACTCCTGTATCAATTTCCTTCTCCGGCTTTATAAGCCTAGTAATATCAAACGCAATTCTAATTGGGGTCTCGTGTGGACCGGGTGTAACTTGTAATAAATAAAGTAACCGTTTAACCCATTGCTTACTGGAACCTGGTGGTCCCTGTGTTAAGCCTATGGGAATTAGATAATTCAGTAGTCAACGGGTTAAGTTGCCTTTTTTACACGAGAATTTCACTGACAGGCATTGTGTGAAACATCTGAGGGAGTTGTAGCTATTAAGAACTGTATTGAAGCATCAAAATTAATAGGTCTATGCGGTTTGTGGCTGTTTTTTGTAGATTGCGTGGTTGTTGTTTTTTGCACTATACATTCGCATGATACAAACGTTATGTAATCGATGTATTGTAAGGCTTTATACATTTGTTTTCTTCTTCTTCTTCTTCTTCTTCTTCTTCTTTCTTCTTTCATTCCTTCTTTCTTTCGGCCTCTTTGTCTAGATCTGTTTTCACAATGGAGACACCACGTAGTGTATGCGGTTGTGTGTTCACCCTCCTCTTCCTATTGCCCGCGCTATCACTGGGCGCTTCTACCAAGCCCGTTCCCGAACAGGTTAAATATGTCGGCATCTCCTACGACATCATCAAGGGAAACCCCGAGGGTAACCAAAAGACTGGAGGGGTCGACCCCGGGCTCTTGACGACTCGGCGTGTCTTGAAACTCACCTACGACAACGGGAAAGTGACGGCCGACAACGAGTACCGAGTGCCCGACGAAGTGGATTTCGTGCGACGTAGTAGCTCTTACACGTCGCAAGAGAAAGATACGTTTTACGGAACGAAGAGCTACGCCAAGAAGCTCTCCCATCAGGTGAATGTCGATGGTAAGCTGCTCGTTTTGTATCCATAGGATCCATAGGTATCTGTGTATTGCTATTCTTTTTATTTTAATCCGGTTCCTACGTTGTTTAATCTTTGCTGGTTCGAAACCCTGACAAAACATAGGATAGAAAATTCAGTTTCCCAGTCAGTATGTAAGAAAACCTTTAAAGTCACACAGTTTTGAGTTTCGACATAGATGACGTCATGAAAGTTTAATTCATTGCGCCTTGAGACACGCACGGATATTTCGTTTTTTCGTTTTCTGTATAAATAAAGGGTAAGGATGGAGCAAAATCTATAATTTTAAATTGGTTTTAGGACAATTACCCCCTGAACAATCACCCCCGGACAATTACCCCCGGGAAACTACCCGCCAATGACAATTACCCCCCCCCCCCCCCCGAAATTACATCCCGAGGACAACCACCCCAAAGACAACTACCCCTGGAAAATTACCCCCGGCCAATGGAAAATTACCCCACCCCTAAAATAACCCTAGGTAAATTACCCCCCCCCCAGGACAACCTAGGACAATCTAAGACAACCAACCCCGAGAGAATTAACCCCACCCCCCCCCCCCTTCCCGAAAATTACCCCTGTTCATTAAAGGGGAAGTCTGCCCTGATTTTCTTCGGGGGGGAGAGGTAATTGTCCTCTGAGGGGGATTTTCCTAGGGGGTAATTTTCCGGGTGATAATTGTCCTCGGGGGGGGGGGGGGGTCGATGTCCTTGGGGGATAATATTTAGGGAGGTAATATTCCAGGGGGTTATTGTCCTTGGGGGTAGTTTTCCGGGAGTAACTTTCCGGAGGGTTATTGTCCAGGGGTTAATTGTCCTGATACGGCTGAAATCCCCGTTATCATTATTCCGTGCTTTGACATTTCCGAGTTCAGTTCTATTGAAAATCCAGGCGTCAAGGCCTTATATAGTAGTTAAAGATAAACTGCAGTACTGGTAAAAAAAAAAATTAATTCTCACAGAATCAAACGAAACTTACACTGAATGTTCAAGAATACAAATAAATGACATGTGCCAAACAATGTTGGAAGATAATGTATACTGGCTGGGTAATGAGCATAGAAAGACAAGGAAATCAAGGTAGTACTAGCCCCGACACCATGTGTGTTGTCCCATGTATAGCTTTCTATGTGAGTGCTTGTTACTTTACCAAGACTCGGTCAAATTTATTATGAGTTTGATGACTCCAGAACCTTGCAGTGCACACCAATACTTACATGCTACATGATCAACTGTTTCTGATCCTTTCACACCTTTTCTTTCACAATGCAATCGCATTTCCAGTACTAAAGTTTATCTTTAAGAACCAGTTTACTGTTGATTATGTCTGTCTTTAGAAGCTGATCATTAGCTTGTATGGTCTATCCTGCTATGGCATGCATTTCTTCTCACCTTTTATATATTCCATTAATATGCCAAGCTATACATGACTCCACGAATAGTATAATTGATAAGTTTTGTATTTTTGTCCCTTTCATTTTTTCTTTTCACTCTTTAGTTGACGTTTCAGCTGTCTTCGCTAGCTTCCAGTTTGCTGCCAGCCATCGTAAGAAAGCTTTCCTTACACGTTAATTATAAAGGGGGGTCATGCTATGTGTAGGCGGAACGTTGTCAGTTGGGCCTATCGACAATCATTTAGGATTAAACTGTCTATCCGATTTGTTACCACGCTCAGCGGTGGTTCCAGGATTTTGTAAAATGGGGGTGGCTCAATTCCGAAGAATTTCGGACGGGAATTTTTTGTTTTAAATAGAATAAACACAAAAAATAACAATTAAGAATAATCCCATAGTAATCCCATAGGTGCCTCTTGGGGCATGCCAAATGCGTTTAAAAAGTGTGGGGGGCCCGTTGTAATGTCCCCCCCCCCCTCGGTATATAAGCCAGTATTAACACCATTTTGTCTCACAAAATGGACGCCTATAGCCCGCTCCATTATGCTTAACTGATTTGTTTCAGTTTAATCTAAAAATTAATTATTTTTAAGTATTAATAAAAAATATCGCACTTCTTTTTTAGAAATTTATTTTTTTATTTTCGAACGATTTTCTAGTAAATTGGCACAGAACATTTTCACTATTAGCATCAATCAATCAGTGTTGATGTTGTCATAGTTGTTATCTTTATTACCATCATCATTTTATCAATATTGTTATTGACCACGAATCTTACGGCAACTCTTTTTTATAATCACCTTGCAATGAATGTAATGCTTTAAAAATGATACGATAATCATATTACAAGGATCACACAAATTCAAGTAATATTTACGATAATACATGTGTTCGAACCGGTTCGTACTCAATGAACTTAATATTCTACAGAATTTGTTCAATCTTACAAAATTTTCCTTTGAGAGTTTCAGTTGTTTTCTCTTTACGAGGTAGGTCTATTTCAAATTATCTAGACCTCATGATCATAATGGAAAGCGACTTATATGTGTGTATTTAAGGTAACTTAAAGATTGTTATAAAACCTTCTTCAGAATAGTGCTAGAGTCGTCAACGTTACAATGTGCAGATGACAAGTATTCGTAATATGCATACTTCTTTTTACATTAAAAAAAAAGAAAATCAGACAATGCTTTGTACATAAAAAAAAATTAAACTTTTTTAAAATTAAACACAGTACTATAGCCCAGAAGAAAAAAAACACAGAGGATAAGTGTCGATCAAAGGTGTCAAAATGTATCTTTTTTTAACACTTCATTTTTCCATGCTTGCAGAATACCAGTCCATCAAGAATGATGAAAGTACCAAGGGTTACGTGTACTTCTCAGAGCAAACGATCGAGAACTATGGCAGTATTCGCTACCTGACGACCCTGGCCAACACTGACGGGTTCGAGCCCAGTCGAGAGTTCCGTGTTGCCGTCTGCGGTCTGCCCACTACCTACGACAGAGCGGCCTACATGACGTTCCTCTCCGACTGGGGAACGGTGAGGCTTTCCTCCCCTTTAGTTATGATGATGATGATGGTGATGATGATGATGATGATGATGATGATGATGATGATGATAATGATGATCATGATCATGATCCTGATGATGATTATTATAATAATGACAATGATCACAACAACAACAATAATAGTAATGATGATAATAATATTGTATTAATGATAATGTTAATGATAATAATAATAGTAATAATAATAATAATTACACTAATAATGATAATGATGATTGCAATAATAATAATAATAAATAATCATCGTTATCATCATAATTAAAAAAACAGATAATGATAACAATAACAATAATTGAAGTAATAATGATAATCATAACAACAATCATCATCATAATAAAGATAATAATAATATTACCAATACTATTAATACTACTACTAATAATAACATTATACTATTGTTCTTCTAGAACCGAACCGCGCCTGCCTTTGGCATGTTTGGCTACACATTAGACTAGTCTCTCTCTATACAGGTGTAGGAAATGGATAAATGGTAAAAGAACGAGCCAATGATTCACAGCAATACTTATTTATATATATATTGATCATGGATCATTTTGCTTTCAGTTCGTGTAACCGTCAATAACACATGGTGGTTCAAAGGACCACTGACGCAAAGTCAAATGCCAGAACGGTCGATTCCCAGTTTGATTTCTATTTTTAAAAGAAGGAAATACAGATGGCCTTTACAACTTTCCTTCCTTTAAAGACGTTTGTATCTTTTTGTCTTGTTTTACCAATGTAGCACGTTGTGACGGAAGCTCAATTGGGGTCTCGTTCGGGCACAACCTATCGTGAGGACACGTCATCTTTCATCAAAGATTCCACGCGAGATGTAAGTGATAACGTGAACCATAGCTTATTTAGAGAGAAAGTTGTGACAAGAACACGCGCGTACGCGTTTATGATTATTTTTGGAGTTTTGGAGTGAACTGAACAGTATTTACTTAAACCCTCTTGAACGTGTATGTGTTTGTGTGTGTGGGTGGGTGTGTGTATGTGTGTGTGCGTGGGTTTGTGTGTATGTGTGTGTGCGTGCGTGTGTGCGTGTGCGTGTGCGTGTGCGTGTGTATATGTGTGTAATTGGGTTCTTACAGACGTGTATCAATCAGATATTATTATTTACGTCTGGGGACTGACCTTTAACGTCACCACCCGAAAGACGTAGTTTGAACCATGATTTATATTCATTTTTTCTCGCACGAACATCTATCACACCTTGTCCCGGTCCCTTGTTCTTCAAACAGATGTCCAACAGCGTAAGTGTTGGAGGTAGCTACAAAATCGTCTCTGCATCGTTATCAGTGAACATGGACAGGTTCACCAAGACTGCAGCGTCGCAGGACAAGTTCGGCAAAGTCTACAAAGAGTACACAGTGGGCAGCCTGGAGTATAATGGTACGTGTATTTTTTGAAAATTGGTACTAATTCTTAAAGCCATACTGTACTAGAAGCACTACTGTATCGCAAAATGCCCTCAATGGCCTTCTCATGTCAACTGTAGCTCGCTGCTTCCCTAGCTGCGATGTTGGTTCTCACATCTAGTCCTGTGTCTGCGAATTAAGTATTGTGTAACGTACTGTTGGCAAGTTGACCATGCGGTGGCTCCGTGCAATAAACAGAGCGCTAGGGAGGAAGGGTACATCATCAGAGCAGTATTGCTTTAAAGGAACATTATCGCAGCTACTTTTAACAAATCAACCTAAGGCAATTCCAATGGCCTTGTACGACACTCTTTAAAATGTGCGAATTTAACAATGACATATTCCTTAATTCGAACCTGATTTCTATAGGGTATTACCATAGCGTATCGAAATCGCTCTTGAGTTGAGTTTTCGAAAGTATTTGCGATTGGGTTTAGGGTTCCAAACAACAATAACAACAGCAACAACAGCAGCAGCACCAGTTGCAACAAGTTCTGGTGTCGGACTCGTCAATATGACTGTCATCCTCCTAAAGAAGATGAGAGCATACTGATCGAAACGTCGGCAACCTAGATCTCGTACCGGAGCTCACCAGCCCGTTCATTGCTCTTATTCCTTTGACAAAATATCTCAGTGTAACCCTATAACTTTTACCTAAAATTAAGTTCTGTGCGATAGAAAGTTCATCTTACTATTATATATCGAATATTTATTGATGAACTTTGAAAATTACTTCCATATGCTAAAATCTTAAGCACTCCTGTGGTATAAAACGTCTTATTTCTTGTACAAACATGCGTTTATATCGAATATATTCTCATTTGATTTGCATATTCTGTAAGTTGCGTGCAATTAAGCCATCGAGTGCTATTCACAAAGTTTAACAATCCATGAATTAAAAGATAAATAGTTAACCGTTAATTTTGTCATCGTACCCGTTAGCGCTCGTTAAAAGACAAAAAAAAAAAAATCTTGTTTTCTTTTTCCTCATCAACTTTCTGAATGTCTTCTAGAACCCATCAGCATAGATCTCATAGGGCTCAATGAAGTGTTGGATTCCAAGTTCTGGACCAGACAGACGGACTATGAAACCAGCGGAGATTGCCCAGCCAATTGGCAAAGAGGAACTATCCAAGCAAACATCTTGACAGCTTTCAATGATTATCCCGCTTACAATGATGTCACTCCTAGTGAAGGTAATAATTATATGTAGCTTTTAGCTGACGATTTTTCACTTTGTACACGGGGCATTGTTTGGCTGACGCAAAGAAGTAGGATGTCCAAGCTGTTTGGCTGACGCAAAGAGGTAGGATGTCTAAGCTGTTTGGCTGACGTAAAGAGATAGGATGTCCAAGCTGTTTGGCTGACGTAAAGAGGTAGGATGTCCAAGCTGTTTGGCTGACGTAAAGAGGTAGGATGTCCAAGCTGTTTGGCTGACACAAAGAGGTGGGATGTCCAAGCTCTTTGGCTGACGCAAAGAGGTGGGATGTCCAAGCTCTTTGGCTGACGTAAAGAGGTAGGATGTCCAAGCTCTTTGGCTGACGCAAAGAGGTGGGATGTCCAAGCTCTTTGGCTGACGTAAAGAGGTAGGATGTCCAAGCTCTTTGGCTGACGTAAAGAGGTAGGATGTCCAAGCTGTTTGGCTGACGCAAAGAGGTAGGATGTCCAAGCTGTTTGGCTGAGAATCATGTAAATACCGAGTACTGAATTATAATGACTCAGTTAAACGCGACGCGATGATGTAGTCAAGATAATAGAGAGAATAAAATTACTGGAGTATACTGCAAAATTGTTTCCTTCTGTAAACTTGACTCTAGTTCAAACCGAAGTCCAGCAAAGGGCAACTATTACTTTTTTTAAAAGCAATATAACAGATTTGATTCATGTATTCACTTCTCGAATATTGTACTCTGAGTCATGCATCATGGCAATGCATTACAAATGTTAATTGATTGGTAACTTGGTTTATGTGAAAATGTATTTGTATATTCTGTATTAAATGTGAATCTTATTTGCAGTTGTTTGTTTATGTGAGGAAAGAATAAAAACTTTATGTAAACAAATTATTGGTTCTTTCTTGTCGATTTTGGTAGACATTCAGGTGGAAATGACGCTGACATGGCCGGACGGAAAATACGCGCTTCCCGAGGCGGCGACACTAGCAGGGGATACCTGCCCGGCATCACCATTTACGTGGGACTTCGGCATGCTGTACCAGTACACGGACACAGCCGGGGCCAACACATGCTCCAAGGGGAATCATCTGACCAACTATTGTGACAATGAGTCCTTGAGGAGCTACTACTGCGTCAAGTCCACCCCAAAAGCTTCATCAAGCTCGTGGTCTTGGATGCCTGGTGTGTACTGCATCTACAAAGTTGGCACAACTTGTCCAGACGGTAAGTCTCATGTTAAAGGGATTGGATATTGCCAAATCCTCTGAGGGGGAGGGTGGGTCGATGGAAGGCCATCTCTATAAAGGCCATATGTGTCTTCAGTGACAACATACATGAATACATCTCTCTCTATCTCTCTCTTTAGAAAGAACATTGTGTTGTATAGCCTAGTCTCTTGTCTTCAGTGGCGAGGTTATTTGTTTCCATTGGATGGCATTGATTATAGGTTTGACTGATCAAATATTGTATCAAATATTCTAGGGTTCACGAGTGGTAACATCAGATGGAACGATGTAAGTAGAGCGGTTGACCCGGACTATAACACAATGCCCTCGGGGACCTATACCGGTGGACCAACAGAAATCGAGTACTGTTGCCGTGAAGACGGCAGTGCCGCCAACCCAATCATCCTACCAGCGGGAAGCAGCTTTTACCTCATGAAATTCCATGGGGCATGTCAGACGGTAAGTGTCTAGAGGGTCACTTGACTCATCTTCAAATGGCTGAGGGTTCGAACCCTATCCCGGTACTAACGTTCTTTGAGGGTTCGAATCTATGTGCGGTACGTATCCTTTCAAGGTGCCTGCCAAAACCTAACAACACTAGACAGGTAGTAAAGCTGCGATTTCACCTACTGTAATTTTTCCGTATTTATTCACAGTGGGTCGCACACATGACTGGCTCTACTGTCGAAAATTGAAGTATTTTAGACTTTTAATAAATTCTACATCAAGAACATGAAATCTCCTTGATAATAGAAAATATGAATGATTTGAACTAACATTTTGTGCCTTTTGAAATAACTTTTTAAAAATATTTTCAATGATGCTAAAGGCTTTCCCTGATCGTCAAGTCCAACTTAGAGTTAAGTTCAACTTAGGATCTTTGTGAAACACCCCCTGGTGTAGAATGGCAGATGTGGATTAATATCTTGCCAACAGACGTCAGTGCCGGGCTGGGATTCGAACCCTCAACCCTTTTATTGAGAATCAAGTGAACGAACCTCTATACCACGACACGTCCACATCTCCTTCTCTAGTTTGGTATACCAGACCTGTCTACCTGGCACTTTGAAGGTACTTGGTAACATTATTCAGATGAGAGAAGACGGTGCTAAGGTAGTGGCTTCAATGCTATATAGATGTACAATAAAGATGGTCTGAAAATTTGAGTGACAACAGACCATTATTCATGATTCATGATTCAGGAACAACTGAGATCTGATCTATTCAAAGATGGTTAGGAGAATTTATTGTAAGAGGGTGTCGCACAGTGATGCCTTCAAAGAAAACCATAAATATCTTTGTGGTTTGAGAATGTTTTCGGGATTTTTTTTTTACATCGTAGAGGGTTAGTACAGATAAAGGAATTTAACATTTCATACACAAATTACGTAGTTTTCTCATCAACCTTCAACAATGTTACCGAGTAACTTAAAGCGCTAATAGAACAGGCATTTTGTTTTAAGTTGGCTCTCCTCAATTAGAGGTTTTTAATGAGTACCTGGCAGCATGTATTCCTTGAAAAGGTACGGTGCGCTGATATTCAGTGGCCTCTGAGATACAATATAAGATGTTACACTCAAATATGAACGAGGCTTTACAAGTAGTCTTGACATTTTTCGTGTAGGTACTTGGCATGACTGTAACGGAGGAATCTCTCGAGTGGGCTACCATGGAAGCCAATCCCACCACGATGCAGGATGGAGAACATCCTAAACCCGGCAATACGGGCCATAATGTCAAGATCTTCTACTGCTTCTATCAACCAGAAACGGCTACGAAGAAAAGCGTTGGTCTCCTGGCCGAGGGTGCAGGTGAAGTAAAGAAAGAACTGGAAGAAGTCAAAAAGCTCGTCAACTTGCTAGAAAACCAGCTCGATCATAGTAAGAGAGTTGCACTTAAGAAGGAAGATGAGGGTGATGAAGATGATATGGAATTGAGAGGATTCAGTGAAAGGGATGAGTGGAGTGCCCGTGAGGAGTGGAGTGCAAGAGAAGAGGATCTAGTGGAGGAGGATAATATGGAATTGAGAGGAGGCAGTGAAAGGGATGAGTGGAGTGCCCGTGAGGAGTGGAGTGCCCGTGAGGAGTGGAGTGCAAGAGAAGAGGATCTAGTGGAGGAGGATAATATGGAATTGAAAGGATTCAGTGAAAAGGATGAGTGGAGTGCCCGTGAGGAGTGGAGTGCCCGTGAGGAGTGGAGTGCAAGAGAAGAGGATCTAGTGGAGGATGAACAGCGTGGCGAAGAAGACAATGGGAATTCCCACTTCAAGAAATGGGAACGGCTCCTCGAACTGCTTGAAAAGGCAATTGCAAGGGAAGACGACATGGCGGGTGACGTCGAGGATAAGCGTGGTGAGCTTGCGCCGGAGAATGAGTTAAGTGAAGAAGACACTTCAGTTGAGATTGAGGACAAGAAGTTCAAGGAAATGGTGCGGGATTTGAAACTTGAGCTGCTCCTGCGTGAAATAAAGAAGGAGGATGAGGAGGAGGAGGATGATATGGAATTGAGAGGATTCAGTGAAAAGGATGAGTGGAGTGCCCGTGAGGAGTGGAGTGCCCGTGAGGAGTGGAGTGCAAGAGAAGAGGATCTAGTGGAGGAGGATAATATGGAATTGAAAGGATTCAGTGAAAAGGATGAGTGGAGTGCCCGTGAGGAGTGGAGTGCCCGTGAGGAGTGGAGTGCAAGAGAAGAGGATCTAGTGGAGGATGAACAGCGTGGCGAAGAAGACAATGGGAATTCCCACTTCAAGAAATGGGAACGGCTCCTCGAACTGCTTGAAAAGGCAATTGCAAGGGAAGACGACATGGCGGGTGACGTCGAGGATAAGCGTGGTGAGCTTGCGCCGGAGAATGAGTTAAGTGAAGAAGACACTTCAGTTGAGATTGGAGACAAGAAGTTCAAGGAAATGGTGCGGGATTTGAAACTTGAGCTGCTCCTGCATGAAATAAAGAAGGAGGATGAAGAGGAGGATGATATGGAATTGAGAAGAGCCAGTGAATGGGATGAGGGGGAGGATAATATGGAATTGAGAGGAGGCAGTGAAAGGGATGAGTGGAGTGCCCGTGAGGAGTGGAGTGCCCGTGAGGAGTGGAGTGCAAGAGAAGAGGATCTAGTGGAGGAGGATAATATGGAATTGAAAGGATTCAGTGAAAAGGATGAGTGGAGTGCCCGTGAGGAGTGGAGTGCAAGAGAAGAGGATCTAGTGGAGGATGAACAGCGTGGCGAAGAAGACAATGGGAATTCCCACTTCAAGAAATGGGAACGGCTCCTCGAACTGCTTGAAAAGGCAATTGCAAGGGAAGACGACATGGCGGGTGACGTCGAGGATAAGCGTGGTGAGCTTGCGCCGGAGAATGAGTTAAGTGAAGAAGACACTTCAGTTGAGATTGAGGACAAGAAGTTCAAGGAAATGGTGCGGGATTTGAAACTTGAGCTGCTCCTGCGTGAAATAAAGAAGGAGGATGAGGAGGAGGAGGATGATATGGAATTGAGAGGATTCAGTGAAAAGGATGAGTGGAGTGCCCGTGAGGAGTGGAGTGCCCGTGAGGAGTGGAGTGCAAGAGAAGAGGATCTAGTGGAGGAGGATAATATGGAATTGAAAGGATTCAGTGAAAAGGATGAGTGGAGTGCCCGTGAGGAGTGGAGTGCCCGTGAGGAGTGGAGTGCAAGAGAAGAGGATCTAGTGGAGGATGAACAGCGTGGCGAAGAAGACAATGGGAATTCCCACTTCAAGAAATGGGAACGGCTCCTCGAACTGCTTGAAAAGGCAATTGCAAGGGAAGACGACATGGCGGGTGACGTCGAGGATAAGCGTGGTGAGCTTGCGCCGGAGAATGAGTTAAGTGAAGAAGACACTTCAGTTGAGATTGAGGACAAGAAGTTCAAGGAAATGGTGCGGGATTTGAAACTTGAGCTGCTCTTGCGTGAAATAAAGAAGGAGGATGAAGAGGAGGATGATATGGAATTGAGAAGAGCCAGTGAATGGGATGAGGGGGAGGATAATATGGAATTGAGAGGAGGCAGTGAAAGGGATGAGTGGAGTGCCCGTGAGGAGTGGAGTGCCCGTGAGGAGTGGAGTGCAAGAGAAGAGGATCTAGTGGAGGAGGATAATATGGAATTGAAAGGATTCAGTGAAAGGGATGAGTGGAGTGCCCGTGAGGAGTGGAGTGCCCGTGAGGAGTGGAGCGCAAGAGAGGAGGATCTAGTGGAGGATGAACAGCGTGGCGAAGAAGACAATGGCAATGTCGACGTCAAGAAATGGGAACGGCTCCTCGAACTGCTGGAAAAGGCAATTGCACCCTAACTGCATGGATGAGGATTACATATAATCTATAGGGTGGGCTGACTTGGGCAAATGTGATATCTATTGGGCGGATAGGCTTGGAAAAGTAGGATCATGTAGGTGTTTGGGGGGCTTATAGCATGGGGTAAAGCAATTTATTAGTGGATATGCATGTAAAAGACTGCCGTGCAGTCTGGTGACTATTACGATGTATGCATTTTGTGTTGGTTAAGTGGGAACTCTCTCTCCATCTCTCTCTCTCTCTCTTCTCTCTCTCTCTCTCTCTTCTCTCTCTCTCTCTCTTCTCTCTCTCTCTCTCCATCTCTCTCTCTCTCAATTTTCCGCACCACTCCAAATTACGGGACAACGGGGGTCAAATTTGCCGAAGTTACGGTGACGACACAACATGTGGACCCAACCAGTTCACCTATATAGCTGAGGCGATGAGCGGTGCTTAATTAATGCAAAGTCATTGAATTTTATTGGGACCCCCCCCCCCTCCCATTCGTATGCATGTGCGTGTGGGTGCGCGATGCGTAATGGTATGAGTCCGTGTGTGTGGGGGGGGGAATACAATTCCTACCTCAAGCAGGAGGTACTGCATGTTATGTTTTTGTATTTTGCGGGGGCAGAATATGGGGGCATGCCCCCTTATGCCCCCTGTCTACGCCTATGGGATTATGATTTAGGTTGTTGACAATATAAAATAAATCAAATTGCGCTTCTGAAGGTAAATTTCACAAAGTAATCATTTATTTCAATAGAGAAGCAATAACATCAACCTGTACACTTCCAAATGAATTTAGTGCACAGCCGTCATAAATCCTTTCTTTGAAAAAAAGAACTACATTTCAAATCTGATCTATTTAATGTAAAGTACATGTAAAGTACACAATGTAAAGTGAACATTTACTATTCCTACTATGTAAACAAATTATAAGGGACCAGCTATAGGCGTGGGATTTGGTAGGTCTTGATCTACTGAAGTTCTGAAGACCTGGGGCGGTATTCTGAACCCTGTGTTATCTCTAATATTGTTGTATCTTTGAAGATAAGATAAAGTTGGTATTCTGAACATTGTTGTAACTTTTGTGTTATCTTTTGTTGTATCTTTTCTCTCATCTCATTGGCCGCGCCTGCGCTCATAATTTGGTGCGCTTGTAATTGTGCGTATTATTAATAAAGTGGCGTTTAATCCTCATTTGCATATGCGCACGAGAAATTATGTCGAGATAGTTGGTATTCTGAAAGTTGTTGTATCTTTTATCTTATCTTATCTTGCATGGTATTTACAACAATACTTACAACAGGTAGGGGGTTGTTGTATCTTTCGTGGTGATATAATAGCGGCATTTTTTCTTGCCCAGAACCAACTTAGTGCCAATAGACGAGTTAGAAGAAGGTTGTGTGTTGACTGGAGACATCAAAGATGAGAAATTTCTAAGAAATTACATGCTAGGATATGACGATTTTAATGCTCTCATCTCTGTGATGTCTCTTGAAAGCGTGACTTGTCTTTATGATCCATGTGCCACATGCTCAGCGCATATGAGGACGCGCATATATAATAAGCGCTCAAATAACTAATTACGCCAAAGATTAGTATGCGCGAAGATGTAGCATAAAGTACTCCAATTGGTTGACCTACTTATCATGCTTATATAAAATAGATTTTGATTGGTAGGGTCCATAAAAATGGGCGTGTCAACAGTGGTCAAAGATAAGATAGAGGCGGTCCTTCAAGAGATAAAACAGGGATAAAACAATGTTCAGAATACCAACTTACAACAATATTAGCGCTGTGTTATCTCTGGAAGATACAACAAAAGATAACACAATACTTACAACAATGTTCAGAATACCGCCCCGGCAGGCGCAGGCGGCGACCGGTAGTCGCGCCAATGGGCATTATTACCCCTTATTTTCTTCCCCGGTCTGGCCCTGAGGGCTACACAAATACCTCTTAACGCGAATACCGTAAAGCAGGATTTTAAATTTTTTTGAAAAAGTACCTTTTTTCTTGAAAATTGCCCAAAATGAACGTTTTTGAATCCTTTAATGCGGCACCGCGCGGACCGCGTCCAATCAATAAATTGGTCGCGCATACCTACAGTATTTATGTTTGACTGAGACCCCCGGGACTTTTTGTGAAAGTGTGCACGATAAGAACAATTTTTAAATATCAAGTTCATCAAAAATGAATAGTCTTTGTGAACCGCTTTCTTTCTACCCACACTTTTCTTTAAACCCTTCAATCTAACTTGAAATTTTATCTTTTAATGCGTTTTAATTTTTGTTTGATTTAATTATATCAGTGCAAGTATATTAATTCATGTGAATTTGTCATGTTTAATCATTGATAAATATAACTATATGCTCTTGCTTTATTTGGCTCATTTCAACCAAGCATGAATTTATGTAGTTCGGCTTTTCAAACTGAAGCGTGTTCTGTGTACTAACGTACCTATTTTTATTTGGTGGTAAATAACTGAATTATGTATTGTGAATATGTTTGGATTGTTTGTTTTTGTAATTTTTACCATGTAGTTTGTCACTTGCCTAGAGGGGTCCTTTGAAATGCAGGCCTTGCGGCTCTGAAGTGACTACCCTGTATTTTAAAGAAGACTGAATAAATCAATCAATCAATTCATCAATGCGTCTATTATTGTGTTAGAGGAAGAGAATCGTGAATAGAAATTGTCTAAAGTTTTTGAGAAATGTTGATTCCGTAGTCCTTAATAATTATTATGTAGACTATTGAGAGGTTTTGGAATCATCAAAACGATGGAAAAACTGACTCAGTTCGCTGAGAATCCCATAAAGTGAAAGGCACCGCACACATATATGTGAATATTGACTACATACTATGCGGAAGGAATTACAAAATTGTTTAAATCTATTGGTAGTCACGTTCGATTATGTAGAGAATGATGAGAAAGCTCAAACAAAAATTGTTCACTTTTAAAAGACCCCAACCTTCCCTTTAAAATGTTTGCAACCACACGACAATGAATAAGTAAAATAAATTGATGGGAACGTGAATAGTCATCTACTTCGTTAATTTGTTTGATTATTCTACTATTTTAAAACAGACATATGGCAAATCCATAATGATAACTCCCGATACGATAACGATTATTATTTATGTTTGATTTGACATATACAAAAAGAGAAACTATTGGTTGGTGAAAGGGGCCATATAATAGCACATATGCTAGTCGAGCCTAACCCCTTAAACGGCTAAACAAAGTATTTTGGTACAAATCAGTTTAGAAAATGTAACAAAACAAAAACTAATGAATTTACTATTACAATCGATACTTAAAAAATAATATACAAACAAATAATGTAAAATAAAAAAATGGGTACATATGCAAATTATTGAACTTGATATTTCATTCATGAGCTTAGACAGACCGCAAAACCATAACCATAGAGGTCTAATAGGAACTGTTTCGAACGCCGTGTACCTGTTCGACGAACCACTCAATCAGCATTTTGACCACGGGCACGATCTAGAATTTGGCCTTCTTCGCTTGGGATAATAAGAGCAATGCGACGAAGAGGACGAACATGACACCACTGACGATTGAGATAATGACGATGGTGGTCATGGAACCTGTTAAGAAACATTAAAAAAAGAAAGTTCCAGAAATATACAAGAAAAAGTAAGAGAAAAAGCACAAAGATACAAAGGAATTGTCGACAATTACTTCCAGTGGCTTCCCTTGATGTAGGTAAATACCTCCCGCCCACTCCCCTACACATGTTTGAAGAGGGTTTGCGTTTGGGCATCCTGGGACATCATGTACCCAACCACTACAGCCATCACACCACAGCCTGGTCCACCAAATATACTCAGATGAGAAAGAAAAAACACTTCCAATATCTAAAACGGTGGGAAGCCCCCACCCCCACCCACCATTCAAAGGCTTATGCATACAAGCACGCACACACACAAATCCGCACAAACACACACACCCGCACAAACACACACACACCCCCACACACACACACACACACACACACACTAATCAACAACAATTTGTCGTGAGTCTATGGCACTCTGGCTTCCATGGGCAAACCAGGTGTTAACACCCGCCCTCGGATGACTCCGCCTCCCCCCCCCCCCCCCCATTTTTAGAAATAAATTACTGCATTACTACATACCCCACTGCCCCTTAACTTAAAATAGAAGATGCTCCTGTATATCGCCATCTTACCATTCTCACACACCCTTCCTGGTCCCGCACCAGTAGGTGAGATATCTGTGTACTCCGGAGGACAAGCGCAGGAGAAAGTTCCAGGCTCGTTGGTGCAAGCCGCCAATGGGGAGCAGTCATTCAGCTCGGCGGAGATGCATTCATTCTGGTCTGAGAGGGAGAGAGGGGGTGGTGATAGAGAAAAGGGGTGACAAAGAGAAAGGGGACGATGAGAGCGACAGAGGAAGAGAGTGGAAGATAGAGAATGTGAGGAACAGAAAGAGAGGAGCAAAGTTTCCATTATAATTGAGAAAAGGGGTATTTTTATTTTGAAAACATTTTGCGTGTGAGAGCCAGTAAAGAAAATGAATACCCGACATTGCAAGTCATCGTGAGACCGTATAGTAAAATCACCAATTTGACATTTTTAAGACTTTTATATAGACAATCCGATTTTGATCAACATACTTTATCTAATTTTTTACTTTTCTACAAAAGCATTTTGCTCTTTTATGACAACCATGTCAAATGAATGAAAATTATCTTAATAAGATCGATGGTAATTGCAATGATTTTGCTAAAACAAAAGCATATTGTTGATAGAAATCAATAACTCATGTTGTAATACATGTATGATGAGAACTGTTCAGGAAATTAATATGATGGTAATGCAAAAAGTAGACTTGCCTATTTTACAGTTCTGTCCTTCATAGCCTGGAGCACACTCACATGTAAATCTGTCTTCCAAGTTCCTACATGTACCGCCATTGAAGCATGGTTGTGAGATGCACTCGTTGATATCTGATTTTATGGGGGAAATTGGAATTCGTTCCATTCATTGGATAATATGTGCATCAGGGCCCTGTCTTACAAAGAGTTTATATCAATCGCAACTATGGACATAAGGAGACTGCAAAGTTGCGATTGGTAAGAGGACTTGCGATTAATTTGGATTAATTGCAAGACTGTAAGACAGGCCTGGGGGCGTTTCATGAACAATTAGTCAATGGTTTTCACCGACTAATATAATGTTCACCGACAATTTAGTCAGCGCTGACTAAATTTGACCAATCACAGGCCTGGAAAATAGTCGGTGACAAAAGAATTGTCGGTGAACATGATATTAGTCGGTGAACACCACCGACTAATTGTTCATGAAACGCCCCCAGGTCTTTATCAAAATGCCTGTTACGCCCACCGCACACTATACACGACCGCCCTCCAATCCAATTTTCGATAAAAATGCAAATTTAATTGCATTTGTATTTGTATTGTATTTGTATTAGATGGGAAATCTAATCATTTTATTTATTTTAAGTCTGAATATTGATAAGAAAACGTACAACCGGAGTTCATTATATTGAACTCTTCTGGTAACAATACAAAGCCGATTCGTCTACAAATCGTAGACAATTGCACTACTGGTCTGACGTCACTATTCTGAGCCCATTAAGCTTTTTCCAAGCAATCGTGAAAACCCGTTAAATTTAGATTTTCTCAATCATATGATTATTTAGATCCTAGATGTCTCATGTTAGAATATCGGATCGTACTCAGATTGGTTAGTGTGCGATGGGCTTTATTCAAATACTCACAAATATATGGATGAGGTGGATTGCTTTGTTCTGCTTATGGTTCACTATATCTTATTCGTTGGTACAATGGCAAAGAGAGAAAATGTCTCGATCCATCGATTCCTATGTAAGCCTACTTGTCAAAACATATTTTTACTTATTTATTCATATTTATTACTGTAGTTTTTGCATTCATGCAATCATTCGTGCAATCATTCATTCATTCATTTTAATATTGATGTACGAAAGATTGACCGGCAGCACAGGGTAAAACAAACAGATCACAAAGCTAGCTCCATGAATTTGATCGATGCGTAGCCGCATCCTGTAGGTACCTCTCTTGCAATATCCTATGCGTTAGTTTCGGTGACTGGAACATTATTATTAGTTTCGGTGACTGGAACATTATTATTGGTTATCACTGCCTACCTGCACATAATCTTCCAGAGCTCCCAGTAGAGTCCACATATCCCGAGAGACAAACACAGTTATATCCACCGACTGTGTTCGTGCATCCAGCGAACAGAGAGCATTCATTTAAGGATGAATTACTGCATTCGTCGATATCTAAATGTATAAAGAACGTGATCATAAAGAATGTCAAAACTCAACTATTTTTGTTTTCAATAGCTCATGTATTACCTTCTTAAAATAATAATATGTCTCTTTATATAGCGCAACTACTATCTGAATAAACTCTGTTGCACTTGATACATGGTTTCATAGTATTACCTCGGCTGTAGCTGAGACGCCATGAAAAGAAAAGCATTCAAGGGAACTCATCCTACCGGGTACCTATTTACGTAATTCACCTGCCTGTGGGTAGAGAGGTACAAATGTAGATTAATGTCTTTCCAAAGGACATTAGTACTGTGACTGGACTCGCGAACCATGTGATCCACAGTCCGGTGGTGTGTCTATTAATAGACCAGGACACCTCTACTACGTGGAATAAAGACTACGGTACATAATAATAGATAAAAACAATCATAAAATAAGCAGGGCATATGTTGGGGGAAATACGATGGAGTAAGGCCTATCCAATCCCAGCGAGAATGGAGTAGAAAATATGAATCTTGTATCAAACAAAAACAAAAATGACAAAACGAAACAATGCAGAGAGTCAGTGGAGATGTATCTTATAAGTTAGCTTCTGAATCTTTAAATCGGAATCATTATCTTACCACTACAGACCGTTCCTTGCCCATCCGTCGGATCCCCTTGATCTCCAAAGCCAGGCAGACAGGTGCACTGGTAGGAACCAATCGTGTTGTTGCAAGTAGAATAGACGGAGCAAGCGGAGTATTCCATTTCATCGCATTCATCCAAATCTGAGACAGGAAGATGGGTTTTCTATATTTATTTAGGTTTATTAAATAACTCTTTAAACAACACAATCGCAAAGACATACGAAAAACCAACCTCAGGCAATTTCATTACAATGACGTATTGCCTAGTCCGGACATAACTTCTAAAGGCCAAACAATAGGGTATATTGAGAAAGTTACCCTTGAATTGTTGTGTCCGGCACTCATGGAAAAGAGGTCTACGTTGTGAGAAAGTAGGAAGAATATTAGGACCTACATCAATGAAAACCGGTTTTCATTATCTACAGGTTTCATTTTCATAATTCTGCTTTAATTCCTAACTAATAACATACGTAACTAAAAAAAATGCCCCAAAAAGCAGAATATCGATCGTGATTTCGAACCCGGAACCTTCAAGTTTCCAGACTCGCTATCCACAGAGCCATGGCCCATCGCATACCTTGAACAACGATAGAGTTAACATCCACGGTGTAAGATGTGTATCCAGACGACAGATCTTCCTCGGCGAAAAAGACATAATCCGTCATAAGATCATAAATCATGACGTCATCAGGTGTACTACCTGCATCGAGAACGATTTGTATCTCTACTCCGAGACTTCCATTGAAGGACTTGATTTTGACACTGAATACGGAGTCAACGAAGATCTCCCATCTCGATAACCGGTGAAAGATCTGAAGGAATTAAGCGGGCAAATAATGAGCATTCCATTCATGGCATTTTTAATAGTAAACATTAGGTTTAATTTTTTCCCCGTCTTTATATGACACATTCAAAGAAAATCAGAAAATAATTAGCATTTGTAGCGTTTTTCATAGTACAATTCATAAATGAATTTGCCTTTCTCTATAATTATTGTTAGAGTAGAATCCCAAGCAGAATTAGAATTCAGCTGTGTTACGGCGGTTCCGGACCGGCATGCGGTTCATGTCCACATCGGACCGCTCTACGTTGTTCAAGCATTCCTCGACCCACATAACAAACTTAGTGAAAGGCCCAACTTAGTACAAATATTACCTGTAACTAGTCTACACTTGTGTATGACACCCGTTTCTGAATAAAACATGAAATAAACTGCCTGCAGAACTCCTGTTCAGATTATGAAATATATTATCGTCATTTTTTTTTTCCGCATATTTCAAAATGTGAGGCCCACGTTTTTGCGATCGTGCGCTTTGCTTTCTTAGTACTGTCGTCAAACTTTGAAATATTTGTTTCTAAATATTCAACCGGGAAGTAAAAATAGTACCGTTTCTTCTCTGTTTAAAGGCACACTGCCATACTTGTAGCTACTTGCTCCCTCTATATAGAAAAATTCCCCAATCGGTGCCTGTTGGTCCCCCATGATCCTCTTTTTCTTATGTTAAATGAGAGCTGAGTTAATGAGATAGCCACCTGTCACAGTGACCTCGATGGCTCTCTGTGTGGTCTAATCCCTTCTGGCCCAGTAGTGGTGACGGTCTTTAAGCTATGTTTTGTAATTTAAGTAATCAAAGTAAAGCGTTACTCTTTTGATTGATCGATTGATTTCTGATTTATTTATTTTAAGTAAAATTTCATAAGATGGATGTTTTCGTACCGCATACTCTAGTTCTCCTCTGATTATTTCATCACTGGATTTGAAAGTGTTAGGGTCAGGGTATAGTGCAAGGGACCCGTTGACATCTGTAATTTGAAACCACATGTCGAATCGTCTCGGAACTGAAATGAAAAGATCATTAATTGCAATATATCGAAATTAAGAACAACAAGAAGAACAAGAACAATATTAATGATGATATTAATCATAATAATGATAATTGTATAATAATGATAATAATCATAATAATACGAATGTAAGATTTACCCATGAAGCCTGTCATGGCAAACCTTCGAGAATTGGGGACATGCAAAAGGTTTATTGAATAACCCTTCCTTTGTTTCAATGACACCTTGTTCTACTTTCTGAGAATCCTAGATTTCAACGATATCAGTTTTATATTTACATGCGTTGGTGTAGGTATTTTCACACCTATAGTGATTATTATGTTATAACACCAAACCGAGTAGCTATATAATTCCAACAGGCATTATATAATCGTCTTCCTATCAAATGAATTTGAATTTTCGTGTGATAATACTAACTTTGACAACCTTCTTCTGTTCTGATCCGACCGTGTCCACAGCTGCACAGCCCCTTTGCAAACCTCATTCTTTGCACATTGGTCTGATGTGGAACAAATGGTTTTACCTGTGATAAGAAAAGAAAATCAGTTCTTGTGCCTTTTCTTCTTGTCAATGGAGTAATAATATATTGGACTAATAAGGTCCATTATAATTCGGTTAAAACATTGATATAACTACGACCTGAGTGCTCTGTATTAATCTGAATGATTTCTTAAGCATTCGAGGAATCAACCTAACGGGTATCCGCTCACTTCACCTCGGCGGAGAGTGGCAAATGTAGATTAATGTATTGCCAGAGAATATTAGTGCCTTTGCAGGAATTGGAACCCCGTATTATAAGCCACAAAGACTGGTGATTTATCCTCTATAGCTAGACACTCCCACTGCTAGTCTTTACATGCATCGATGTATCAAACCTTGGTTTTTCTGCTCTCTTGAACCTACCGTAATCGCAGTGGCGCCCTGCATATTCTGCGGTGCATGTACAGAAATAACCCGTTATTATGTCCGAGCAAGTCGCTCCATTGTTGCAAGGGTCACTGTCACATTCGTTAATATCTGTGGGGGACAATAGGACAGTTCATCATGTCACAAAGGTTTATCAAATACTTACTTGTTTTTATGCAATTATACCTCTTAATTTATGAAGATGAATGTATACATTTTAATCTGACATGTTATCTGATAACATATCAGGTGATAATTATATCACACAACGTGAAAAGAGTTTGTTTAAATAAGAGATCTGTTCATTCCATTTCACTGTGAAGAAGAAAGTACTGTCAACAAGGGAAAGAAAAGGTTGATGATGTAGCTCTAACAATTGGTGTATACAGTGGGTTCTGGAATGATTAAAATAACATAAGAAATTGACTCAATCTAACTTGTTGTTATTCTCATGCATAAATATATGAATAGGATTACACAAACATGTGGCATGAAAGTTTTGTCCAAGCACTTACGCTTTTCCTTGAAATATTCTGAATATGAGGGGATTAGAGGAGTAATATTTTTGTAACACTTTTCCATGATATCCTTTCACTCAACTATACAAAGAATGAAAAAGCTCGCAAATTCTTTTTCACCTTTCCCAATATCAGCCGTCTCTTTAATCATCCAAGTTGAAAATGTCATTTACATCAGCAAGGCTCTTTCGATCGCTATGGGTCATCTTTAATTCTTCATCACGATGTGAAGTAGGCCTATAACAATTGCCATTTAAAAAGTATGTTATTATAGGGAAACTTAGGGTTTTTTTAATGTAATTCGTCGAATAGTCTCAAACAACATACTTCTGCTTCGCTGCTTAATATGTATTGCATGTGATGAGCGGCTGTATTTAGACGTGGAACGTTTTACAATTTAATGTCCCATTTTCTTGTTCCTTTAGACAAAAAAACTCAAGTGAAATTAAATCAGATCAAATCATTTCAAATCCTGAGGGTGCAATGCCTGCGAGTTAAAACAAACTCTTACTCGAGCTAAAATCTCGATAATTTTTTTTGTATATTCTTCACTAACCTCTTTCACATGTCTGTCGCCTATAATCATTGGTTTGTAGTCGATACGCAGGCTATATACAAAAGATAGTCATAGATGAAAAAAGCAAATAATATCTTCCGAATACCCAATTATCTATAACAAGTGTGTACAAAAAAGCGATACCAAGAAAACTTCCAACACGATTTCAGAGACTTTCAAACTTCAACCTAAGGCACTTTCAATAGCCTTATATATACATCACGTATTGAAATGTGGGGAAATGACAGTGACATATTAAGTAATCCGATGAGGATTTCTATTGTCATTACAAAAGTGTATACAGATTGCTCTTAAGCTGGTTTTTGAAAATCTCTCTGATTGTCTTATACCATTTATTCATACTTTATCTCGATATTTAAGATATGAAATATATATTACAAATACAAAGCTAAACCTCATTTCGAATACACAGTGTTATTTCCCCAAATACACATCATTCTATATTTTGGTGTCAGCATAAATGTACATATTTCATCCAAAATATCTTTCGTACTAATATTCTAGACTTTAAAAACCTTTGTCAATGGTTTACTTTATTGTAAGTATAATAAACACTTGTATTTTATGTTACACTGACATGTGACTACGTCATGACCTGGATTTGAAATGTTTACATTTTTTGTTTCTGGTTGTTACTACTATTATTTTGAATAAAGAGGAGTCAGATACATGTACATAAGCATAACCAATGAAGTCTCAATTATCCCGCTTTGAAAATACAGTATTTTCAAGGTTTGTAAGTTGGTAAAAAACGAACAACAATTTGGTTCAACTTACGTAAATTACAGGGCAATGATCTTCTAACATTCGCCAACCACCAACACTAGCTAACTCCGTCTCATTGAAGCCGGGAAGAGAATCAAAATACTGAAGTAGAATCATATAATTTAGAAAAAAAAGAAACATTAAGATCATTCCTTTTTGCAATTTCAATTGTATTCTTTTCCGCATGATTGATGGATTATTCGTAAGTCTTATACTGGTACAATATATAATATTATGATTTAATATTCAAGATCGTAAAATGATATGAGAGAATTCAAATCGTTATCCTCTGTTACGTGCCTCGATCACCATTAAACATTGATTTGTTTCAATGGAATAATGCTTTACCATCTTCTTTATGTTTTCATTTTAAGCCAAATCCTGGACAACTAACAAATATAGTGTTATCATGTACAAATATTAAAACAATATTAATTATAACAACAGTGATAACATATGGCTCCGAATAGTCTCATTGTTCAACGCCCCCTATCGTCAGAGTCCAGCACCCTAACATGTTAGCCCATGGACTTTTACCCCCAAAAATCGTTAACAAATCATTTTTTGTTTAAACGAAAAGCACATCCCCCTCACGTACGTTGACACCAGCTCTTTCTTTCAAACCCTCATGCCCCATTGACTTTTGAAAGTTTACCCACCCTAATTTGGTCAAAATAGGTCGCCAGCTCGCCATTGCCTATATAACACATGTGCAACAAGTCAAACTTTGGACGCAATTTGCCACTCGATTGCAAGGTTATAAGTCATGCATGAATTATCATAGATCAGTTCTGACTGGTTCATTATGCCCATTTCAGCCAACCCCCCCCCCCCCCCCCCCCACCGTAATTTTTCCATTTATTATAAGCAAGCATTTTGCCGAGGTGAGCAAAAACATGAATATTTATGAACGCCATGGACTATTCGATTATTTACAGTGGGGTGCAATTGTGCACCACATCAAACTCCCCCACTTTAAGTCAAGTATTTCATTGTATTATGTAGTTTGGTAGGTTTATTTTACTGTTTAATTATCAGATATCAATGATGGTTTAAAGATATGGAAAAGGTTCTTGTATGCTATATTTAGCAAAGCAATCTTGGCGGAGATTCCAGGGAACAGAGCCCCCAGGAGCTCGTTTTTTTTTTAGGTATTTAATAACGGTCAGATGAGCATCCAGGGCTCCGCCTTAGGGCCCTTGGTGGGGTCCAGGAGGCAGAGCCCCTGGTAGCTCAGGGGTTTTTAGGTATTTAATAACGGTCAGATGAGCATCCACGGCTCCGCCTTAGGGCCCTTGGTGGGGTCCAGGGGGCAGAGCCCCCGGAAGATGGGGGGTTTCAGGTATTTAATAACGGTCAGATGAGCATACAGGGGACCGCCTAAAGGGCCTAAGATACACCAGAACAAAGGTGCCCATACATGCAGTTGTTGAAACCCGGGGTTTTTAGGTATTTAATAACGATCAGATGAGCATAAGGGGACCGCCCAAAGGGCCCTTGGTGGGGTTCAGGGGCGGAGCCCCCATAAGCTCAGGGATTTTAGGCATTTAATTACGGTCAGATGAGCATATTTTGTTACATAGGCAGGTCACTTATTTTTTCTCTCTCTTTCTTTCTTTTTCTCTTTAAAAAACTTTTTCAAAAAGTGAGGGGGGCTCGAGCCCCGAGCCCGGCCGTTCTGCAGACCCTGACATACAGGCTTATTAATAAGCATATTTTTCGCCCGACTATAAATTTGGGAATTTCTAATTTCCAACAAACGCATAAAAAAGTATGACTTCTTACAAAAATATGAGAAAAAATACCGGAAAATCATGTCATTTTCCCTCGGTAGCCACATCAATATAAATACTCTTCTTTCTCAACGATTCCCAGGTATCCATTTACACCTGTATGGATAATTAAAATATAGAACAACGTCTTGCCAAATGACCTTAAAAAAGTTTTAAAAAATAAAAATATAAAATTGTATTCGACATTGAACTTTAAATCTTTGTCGGCACCTGATATTCATCCGGCAGTGGTTCATAGAGTTTGTAATTAGTACAGACGGCTGGTCTGCCTTCCACACCACATAGCAGTTCGACTGGCTTCTCACAGTACGGGCTTAGGGACAACCCTCTTCATGACAGACCGCGAAAAAGAGAGTAAAAAGAAATCAAATGACTAGCAACGTTTAATGGATTATAATGGCCTGGAATCATATTTTAGAGTCATTTTTTATTCAGTTTCTCAATTTTGCTCACATGCAATATAACTAATAATGTACAATTGAGTACAAATGAAAATTAAACTGCTTTAGTTTGCTTGTAGTTACATTTAAATATATAACTAGGTTAAATTGAAATTAAGTATACAAAGAAGCTCAATCAAAATGCAAATCTAGTTGGTTGACATAGTTATACCTCTTTATTTATGTATCAAATGTTATCATGAGTATGAAATAACATATACGCCATTGTTGTGTATTTATATGTATCTCAATATTACACACATCAGACAAAATTACGTTTAAAAAAATGTGTGTTTATCAGTCGCTTCTAGTTCTTTTCTTTGTTTCCTACTCGGGTTTTCCCCTTTTTTCTCACCTGTTTCTCTGAGTGTCCATCCACCATTTACAACTCTTGTTGACGAAGTCACACCCGAGGTCACGACCCCAATTGAATGGGTCAGCGAGGTCATAGTTTACTTTATACCATCCGGTATCTTCGAAGAATGCCAAAGTGAAACGAGAGAATTTTCGCCCCTTAGTGAAAGCCGGCCCCATTGACTCGGTCTAGCAAACAAAAGGTTGAAAGTTGGGTGCTAGTTATTACTGTAACCTTTAACCCCTTATCATTAAGCTGATGAAGTTGGGTATATGTAGCCTAAACGACTAAGATACACCAGAACAAAGGTGCCCATACATGCAGGTGTTGACACATGAGGGTGGTAGAACATAGGGATCTTTGAACCTAGCGGTATCGGAACATACGGGTGTCAGCAAATATGGGTGTCGGTGTTGGGAAATTGGAGTGTCGAATATGACGGGGTTGAAACACAGGGAAACAGACCACATAGATGATAGAACATCGAGATATCGGATTGGCAGGATACAGGGGTGTCGTAACATTGAGATGTCAATTTCAGAAAATTGGGTGTCGGGACATTGTGACAAATGGAACAGAAACCAAGGCTGTAACATTTTCAATATTTCGATTTAAATTTAGATTATCATCATTCAATTATATAATTCTGAAGGTGAATAGGGAAAGTGAAAGGTACACCTTTGAAGAAAAATAAATTAAACAATCCTACCGGCATCAATCGGGCCTCAAAATGAGCGAGAGCGCTTCCAGATGGAACCATTCCATAATCGTCCTCCAGTTCGACTCCCTCAATGGTGTCACATCCGTAGTATTCACGAGCTTCTCTCTACAATAATGAAAACATATCTATATCTTTATCTTTGCTCTTTGATCTGAGCAGCATGTGTGTTTGTTTGTCTGTAAATACATGTATGTTCATGTATATATATATGTGTGTGTGTGTGTGTGTGTGTGAACGAAATTGCATTGTCTATAAAAAAAAATATTGAAAAATTGGATGATTATGTAGTAAATACGAACGACAATGTGTAATGTGGTATTTGAAGCAACTTAGTCGTAACAAATTGACGAAATCTTAATAAAGAAATATATATTAGTCTAAAAACATACACCCAATCATGATATGTAAGGTACATTATATAGGTGAAAATTTTCTTCGGATGAAATGGAAATAAAGGATGATGGCTATCAGCTCCCCCTCCCCCGCACTCTGAGGTCGGAGGGACCGCATTCGTGTTCCTTTCTCTCTCTCTCTCTCTCTTTCTCTCTCTCTCTCTCCCTCTCTCTGGACTCCTGTGACATGGTTATAAAATATCTTAAATATCATAGATAGGGGTAAATTGAACAGTGTTCCGGATTTAGGGGGGTCATCAAGGCAGGAAAAGCCCGCGAAAAGCCCGCGAAAGGGGGTCCAGAAATGTTGGCAGTCCTGAGATAGGGGGTGCTTTCGAAAGGTAGGGAACAAGCATACGCGTACCCTAAAAAAAAACACTGAGCAGGGGGAGGGTATCATCTTTTTCATCAGCAGCTCCTTCATCATATTCATATTAATAATGACAATTATTAATATGGTTCAGTATTAAATACCACCATCATTACCGTCAACAATATCAACAACAGTATTAATACCACTCACAGCATCAATCATCAATATTATCATTATCCGTCTTTCTAGCCGTCTTCGTATTAATCAGATTTACAGCATCCTTGTGATAATTTGGAGTATTTAAAAAAAACTTACTATAAGGTTAGGTGTAACCATGATCGTCACATTTCGTTTTATTTGACCCCCACGGATATCCCAATCTAGGGTTTGGGTTCGAGCTACACGATCACTCCATTGCCAGTATCCCACACTATAAAATGAAGAAAACAGTTCAAACGACGTATAAAAAAGGTGTTTTCAAATGAAGCAGTTTGTTAAACACGATAATAGATGTGTATTTGTTACTGAAAAGCAGTACAAGCATATCCTTGCTGCCTTCGCACGTGAAACCAATGGTCATCATAATCATCATAATTTAAGATCATTTAAATTTTGGGTAGATCTTTTGAACATGTGACATTTCATGCACAAATGAAAACCCCGGTGAAAACTCCGATGTATCTCTGAGAATCATTTGAATGAATGAATTCATTAATTATTAGTGTTTCTTTCCAAACAAGGTAAAAAAATTTTTTTTTTAAAAGACCGAGACGTGAGCGGGTGACGGAATCATAACAAACAAGCGCTTGTTGTTGGGATGACAAATATTGCATTACTGTGATCTTAGAAAATAAACCTGTGCCTTTATAGAATATCTCATATGGCTGCAGGCCATGAGACTAACAGAGAGAAGAGACCGAACGGGTCATTCTGGCGGGCCTTTCTGGAAAAAAGATACGCAAGGGTTCACGAGTCGGTCTCTTAGAGAGCATGTTGTTTTGTGTGCGTGTGTGCGCCAAAATTTGAAAATTTGGCCGATCTATATTTAGTTTCGTTGGGGGAGGGGGTAAGGTCAGCTTTTTGGGGTCACCCATTACCACATTTTTTTATTTTTTTTATAATTTAATTTTTTATTTAAAAAAAATAAGCAAAGGGGGGGGGTTCATCCAAAACACACATATAAAAATGTTAAAAGGGGGGTTCAACCCCCAAAGCCCCCCCCCCCCCTGCGTACGCGCCTGGGCGGAGTCATACCAACAGCAACAACAACAAATAATAATGCATGCTGTATAACCCGGAGCTTTCGCACTAGTTGGATACATTTTGTTTAAATGACAACATTAACTGTGTCGTGGGAGTTTTCGAAGGGGGTCACACATCCCTATTTTCACTATTATGCCATGGTGTTCGATATTCTTTTCCCCATTCGACGGGAGGGGGTACGTGCCCGCTGGTGTCACTACATATTCAACGATGTATTGTAAAACATGGTCAATATCGCAGTCCAAAATGACCCCCTCTTTGGCAACCTTTCAAGAATATTTTTACAAAATATTACCTTTTGAGTAAACAAAAGTACAAATTGGAATCAAATATGATCAGATATGGGGCTTTTCAGTGTATATTTATAAAAAGTACGCTATTTTTCATAAAAAAATACACGCGCACTCATCGGTAGGCCCCTTTTTGTGAAATATGTCGCTCTTACAACAAAACCGCGAACAGCCTCGAACATATGTCGCTCTTACAACAAAACCGCGAACAGCCTCGAACCCCTCCCCCCCCCCCTTTTTTTTTTACACGGAATTCCTATCATTTATACACGTACACAAAGACAAAGTCAACATTATAGTCATACTAACGGTAGTACGTGTCCCTGTGGCTAAGTCATAGATAGAGACACTGGCAGACATAAGTTTTGTTTAAAGATAAAATTGCGGTTCAAGGGTTTTGGGTGCAAAATATCTATTCAATATTGTTTAAATATTGCCTTCAGAGGTCTAGATGGCAAAAATTCAACCTAAACTCGCAAAAAAGCAGATATATATCCCCAAATGTTCAATGTTGAAGTGCATTCGCGATATCTATCCAAGTCGAACCGATATGATAATTTACCAAATATATCAATTAGTAGGCGGTTTCCCGTCAAAATTTGTATCATCACGTATTAGTCAAAACATAATTATTTCACATCATTGGTTTTAAGAGCTTCCATTTCATTTTTTTGAGAGGGGGGCGATTCCAAAACTGGTCTAAACCTAAAATAAATTTTGAGTATTTTTAAAGAACGTCTGCTTGTTTACCTTACCTGCTCGTTTCAATGGGGAAGCCATTGTCCCCAAGGGGGGTCAAGGGTCTCCATTTTCATCCCGGAATAAAGCATACAAGCTTGGTGAGATACCCTGTAAGAATACGAATAGGAAACAATGTTTAAAAGGGCAAGTCCAAGGTATTTGTTCATTTGGCTCACTTTGCATTGGGTCTTCGCCAAATTGTTGGGTCTAGTTTTATCCGACATTTTCTTTAAATTAAACAAAAATACAGCAAATTTACGAAAACTCCCGTCTTTTAATACGAGAAACACAGTGGGCGTAATAGAAGTGTATCCAACTTTGGTAGCTCTTGATTAAAGTGTATGACCAATATGACTTTGAAATTTATTTCATGATTAAGAGTAACTTGTTTTCTGTCCAATGACGAAAGACTTCATGCATGGCTGATTGTCAACGAAACGGAGTTAAGTCTTTTGTCAATTCTGCTTTTTGCTACGGCAGGCAGCCAGTGAAAACGAATTTGTTTGCTAAGATTATGAAAATGTAAGGGCTACTTTGAACAAATAGAACTTTGTCATTCCTTGCTCATTTTTCCTGATTGAGGTGTCATATGAAAGGGCAGAAACCCAACTTTCTAGAAATGTGATTTTCTCTTTGAAATTCAGATACCGCCCAAATGACTTTTCGGTTTCCTCTCTTCAAATTGATTTTAGTCACTTATGCGTGAAATATGCTTCATATGAAGCATCAAATGAAGGAGGGGGATCTAAGCTTTCCAAATATGTGTCATTTATTAATTAAAAATGTGACCAAGTTATGATAAAACATCGATAATTCTCGGTTTCGTTTTTTCTGGGACACACTGTATAGCGCTTAGTACGAAATACCGTCTCAACGGATTCATCCACGCACAATATGCACCATCTCCACTCCCTGGGGAGTACTTCTACCTTATTTTCACCGTGAGGGCATATGGTAATTACTAACTTAAAGGTTTTGGTCATCCTACCAGGTCCCTAATTTTCTCCTGGGTATGGAGTGTCTAATGTAGATGAATGTCTTGCCATATGGCATTAGTGCCGTGTCCGGTATCGAACCCACGGCCTTTGCATTTCAAGTCAAGCGCTTAAACCACTCGAGGTCAACACCTCTACATTTATTTAATTCCAGGCAAGAAGAGAGTATGACCTGATTCACAAAACTCAACTCCGCTTACTTACATTCCATCGATCAGACCTTCGCAATGATTAAGTGGAGCTACACGCAACAGCTCAGCTGTTAAGTAGATTCACATTTAATTTTCCGTATTAAATGGTTTCTGACACATTATTTCGTGTCAATCATTACTATAATTCGGGGTTCCTTACTTCCATATTAATTAACTCATAACCTGCCATAAGGCTGCATGCACGCTATTGTTAAGGTGCTTTGTACACGCTAGCAAGCTATTGCTCCTCTGCTTCTTGCATGATTGCACGCAAATGTAATAGCAGATGCCCGTTGGACTGTGCCTAGTGTTTTGCACGCGCTATTCATAGAACTATGGAGTTAATCAGATTATCTCCAAAACAACCTGGCACGGGGGGATTTGGGGCTTGGCACAATGGGGATTAGCCCTGTGGCAGGATAAGAGTTAAAGAAGTGTATTGTTTTGTAAAATGTATAATGTGTTGTGAATTTAGCATGAAATGTGAATATAAACAATCAATCTGTTATAAATGACCAAGGATCGATGCTTCTGGTTTAAATGATGTTTATGAAAGAAGGCATATAATTTCGTTTTTAGAACCAAGAAGCTTGTTATGGGTACGCCTATATGGTTTATACAGTATGATTTTTTAAAAAATATTGAAAAAAGGGAGAAAGTGAGAGAGAGAGGGAGAGAGAGGTAGAGAGAGAGAGAGAGATAGATCTTAAATAAGCCATATCGATAGTTAAAGACCTGCGTGCGGACTGATAAACATTAGCTAAACAACTACTTGCGGCCATCTTTTTTTTTTTTAAATTACAAAGATGGTAGGGTGTGTTACATAACTTTCTTTGGCCCGCCGGAGGGAGTAATATTTTCTAGAGTGGTTATATTTTCCAAGAAGCGCGCATCACTGAGGGTAAATAATTATGATCACGAGGGATAATATCGCTCTCTATCCAATATCACTTACTATTGCATGGTAGATTTCATGTTGTACTGTAGATTGAAGATCTTCTGGTATTGTTGTTCCACCTGGACAAATGTTGATGTACCCTGCAATAGGCCTTGGAGTCGGAGAGCAATAAAATAGTAACACATGAATCCCAAATGAATATGATACAAACAATACATTGCATGTATAGCACATCTCTGTCGTATTAGCGTTTTAATGCGCTAATGGAGAAATAAACAACAAGTAAAATTGGTGCTGCAATTATGCCGACTATGACTCAGTCAAAATACATTTTAAAGAAGTATGTTTTAAGGAGAGTTTTAATCTTATAACTAATGTTTCCTTCATATTACATCGTGCAGGGGTAGCATAAGTAAACGACTGCTATGAATAACTAGACATTCATATATCACTTCCCAATCGCCTCATACAAGTTTCATTAAAAAATATATGAATGGCCTATGACATCAAAGAGAGAGAGAGAGAGAGCATTAGTAAATAAAAAATGATCTACTTAAGCTGTACATGTTGAACAGTCGGACTGCCGACTGCTAGTAGTCTAGACTATTTCAACGGTATTGAGGATGGATACATCATGCCTAATCACAAGATGTGCATTATTTGATATGCAAAATTGTGGCGAGGATCCTTGTCATTTTATATTAAACCTACCCTCGTGCGAAATTCCATACATTTAGAGTGTTAATTTCTAAGTGTAATCTAAATTATTAAATGGCCGGTCTTCCAACAATGCTAAACACCGGTCCGATAATTTCCACCAGCATCCTCATGAGCAGTCAATATTTGTATATTAAAGACCGATTACGGGCTTATGCCGAAAGGGTGGGTAGCGTCGTGTCACGTCACGTTGACTTGAACGCGACCATTCGTCCAAAGCCCTCCCCCCCCCCCCCGGTTTGACGGAAAGGGTACGTTGTTGACTGGAACGCGACCATTCGTCCAAAGCCCCCCCCCCCCCCCCCCCCACGGTTTGGCCGAAAGGGTGCGTTGACTAGTTTTCCACATCAGCCGTTTATAGAATTTAAGGAATAGAAATATAAGTCGTTTAAATAAATTCAAATAATCAAAATAGAAACAGATTAAAAACTTAAATAAAACTAGTTGATACGTGAGAAGAGGGAGACAGAGAGAGGGGGTAGGGGAGAAAGAGAGAGGGTAGGGAGGGAGAGGGAGAGGAGAGAGAGGGGGAGGGAGGGAGGGAGGGAGAGAGAGGGGAGGGAGAGAGAGAGAGAGAGGGGAGGGAGAGAGAGAGAGAGGGATCCACCTCAAGCCAACAAAGTACAAAGTGTGACGTCATACTGGCCAAGTTGTCGAGGTGGCTGGTTCCAAAAAAAAAAATTGTGCTAAACAATGGTGCGGGGATCACACCAGCTCCAATATAAACATTGACTTTGGTAGCCTGAATGATTTCGCGGTGAAACTCAAGGGCATATGCTCTGTTGTTTAGAACCGCAGTAACCTGGACTTCAAACGAATATGACGTCAGCACTTTGGTACTCTATAGTCCCACCTATTCAGCGTCGTGTCAAGATAGCACGCACTAGCAAACCCGATGACGCCGTCTGGGCAGACACTAATGGAGGTGACATAGAGAGTGAAATGAACGTCGCTCACGCCTCTCTCAGCGGGTCCTCCCGGTTCGGCCTCGCAGTCGTACTCTGTCCCGTTCTCATACCGCTTACATGTGGAGCACGGCTATATGAATTTAAGGGTAGGCGTATAGCAGTACAAATTACATCGCAGTAAGAGCAGTATATTTTTCAGTGTTCTGAGTTATTCTTGTATGAACACACCGACTTTCCAAGTACTAAAATATTGCGAACGAGTAACGTGGGCGAGCAAGTAAACGAACAACAAATCGAGTTTTGGCTTACGAAATCTATGCCTGCCCATTAGTGTGTTAATATTTGATATGATATGATGTCTACTCTTTACTATATATAGGCCTACGTGTAAAGGTGCTCGTTTTTAAAAAAAAGAAAATATTGGCTACATCTAAAAATTACCTAAACGTTATTTTTTTTCTTCAAAGTTTAGATATATTTTCATTTCACTTAACATTCTAAAAGCATCCCATCGAAACAAGAGGCGGATCATTTTATATTTGTAAAAGGGAGGGGCACAATAGAGACATTTTCTTGAAGTTGATTACAAATGGTCTGACATCCCCCCCCCCCCCTCAAAAAAAAAGAAAAAGAAAAAAGAAATAGGGGGTAAACTTTGGGTGTCATGTAAGTTAAGCCTCTTGCTTTTCGGGGGGGGGGGGTGCAAGGGCCCTCTACGTCCACTAGGGCGTTAAAACAATCACTTACATGTAAATGGTGTTCGGGCAACGGAGCTATACCACAATTCGTCACATCATCGGCACATGTACAATTGACCACTGTTCCGTTGTTCACATACGAACCAGTTTGACACTGCCTGTTAATCGATAGAAATAGAAGAATATCAATGTTAAGAAACTATAATTTTTTTTAATTTTTTTTTTTGTTTGTTTGTTGGCTTATTTTAAGAGAGAGAGAGAGGATTACTTGAAAAATAATTTTCCTTTGTCTCTAGTGTTTGCTATGACACGCGAAGTTACAGCGAATTCAGATATGACGCAACAAAACCATAGTGTTGTATAAATAAACAAACAAATAAATATGCGTGGAAAAGTTACCTGTCGAAAATATAGTCCTGCGATTCTTCCTTCACTTGGAGTTGTCGGGATATCAAGTCCACTGTCTCCTGGGTTGCATCCTAGATTTCACAAATGGAAAATTGATGTTGGGTGATTATGATCTGGTTTTTATAGCGCTAAATACGAAATACCGTCTCTAAGTGCTTTTACCCTGGTCATCGGAATTATTCACGCACAATGTTCACCATCTCCACGCCCTTGGGAGTATTCCTACCATACGGTCACCATATACTATTATATCAAGATACTATATCAAGAGTTAAAGAATTAGGACATTAAAACATAAATATTTCCGTATTTTGTACACAGACATATTAAATACAAAAGCCATTTAGATAAGAACTAACAAAGATTCCTTTAAATAATCAATCTTTCCCCAAAAACTTAGAGGCTGGACGTCTTAACCGTCATTCATATAGTTGACATTCAAGATCCCGCCTTATCAAAGGCTTAATATTCAAAATAATGATTTCATTACGTTACGATCAAATATCAGTAGCCTGAGTACAATAAAAGGCAGAGAGAAAACCAGCCATAGCTGACTATGGTTGACTGTTTGCTGCATATTTTGTTAGCTCTGAAGAGCTACCCAGGATGGACGAGAAGGGTTAAAGAAAAGGTTGAGTTCTGTGAAGAGGTGAAAATAATTTGTCAGCGTTACTCATTCTTACTATGCAAGTGTGGAAGAGCATCAGATAAGACATGTTCCCTGAAAAGCATGGCTCTTCAAATGCCTTCATATTCTAATATGCATGTAACATCGTAAAAATCGGGGGGCCGGCTTTTTACGCCACGTGTTCGTGTAGTCCCATATACATCTTTCAGTGTACAGTGTTTGTAACTTTACCAAGACTTGGCCAAATTTCTTATCATTTTGTTGATTCCAAAACCTTGCAATACACACAAATTCTTATATGCTAGATGATCAACCTTTCCTGATCGGTTCCACACCGTCTCTTTCACAATGCAATCGCATGACCAGAACTCAACTTAATCTTTAAGGTTATGATTAGGGTCCGATTTGTTTTACTCCACTAAAGGAGTATTGAGCCAGATTACTTCAGATTCAGAAGAATTCTTCATCTTCAAGGTCAACTTTTCAATTCATTCAACTTGAAATGGCTGAAATATAATTTCAAAAATGTTTATAGCAAAGCGGGATTTTCTTTTTAAGTGGATAAATTTTAAACATATGCCATCCACCATGTCCACGGTCATGTGGATGTATCTTGAAAACACACAGCACCCTGGATAGTAATATCAAAAAAGCTTTTATGGGTGAAACAAAGTCAACAAAGTCAACAAAGCCAATATGCTACAGTCCCGATTGAAAAGTATTAAAAGAAAACTCATGATAGTACATTGCACAGCAATTCGGGGCGTTGTCCCTAAATGCGTCAAAGTCGATGGAACAGATTTAATGAGCTTACCATGATATAAAGTTAACAACAGTTTGTTCAACTTCTTTTAAAGTGAACATTGTTTTGTCACATGTTCTGCATTCGCAAAATCATCTAGTCACGAAGGATCGATCTCCCTTTTTTTAAAATAAGGTTGGGTCCTGTCAAAGATGAAAAATAATCTGCGAGCCATCTCATTCTTTGTATGACATTTTGAAACATGAAATAGAAATAGCTGAAAAGTTTACATGGAGTCCAAAATACCAGTTTCTGTGTGCATTGCATCTGATTTGTTTAGCAAGATAGAGTCAATTAATTTTGATTTATATGTAAATTATTCCAAACCCTCACAGTATTGCATGAGTTGGTATGAACAATATAACCACCCTTTCCAACTTGCTTCTCCACAGTTCTTTCACAAATTGATCGCATTAGCAGTACCTTATCTTCAGGATGATTCATTTGAAATTGGTCAGAAATTAATTAACAGCGCTACCGCGGAGCCATGTGTACGGAAGTTAAACGTGCAGCGAAAAGACGACTTGTTTTTACTCGCCAATGCTTCTTGTTAAGGCCAAGAAGGCGAGAAGGCGAGTTTTAACCTTCTCGTATTGATCAAGGCACCTTGGTGGGTTTAAGAAGTCGCCCTTTTGTTTCATGTTTAAGGTCTGTAGATGTGGCATAAAATCACTTACCATGATGAGGTCCCTCATCGATGAATTCGTGACTGACTCATCGTACCATACTTCAAACTTCATTTGTTGTAACGTGCTGCTCCCAGACCGACTGCTCGATGATCGATGGGTGTTTATCCCTGGTTTGAGCTTTGCAAAGCAAAACAAGATAGTAAAGGAAAAGACGAAATTAAAATTTATAGAACATATACATATTCTATGTATTCCATACTACCATATGCTGCCGCGTACGATTAGCGAAGAACAAAACAAAACAAAAAGAAACAAACAGACAACAGAAAAACAATCAGCCATTACGCATGTCACTATCTTATACGGCAGGCAAATGACGCCTTGTGTGCAACACCCATCAGTGTCCCATTGCATACAACCATTTTCATTTTTTCAAATAAAGTCGATTCAATTTTTCTCAAAGCATCAAACAGTATAATAAAGCAAATGTACAAAACGATGGATACATAATTTTGACAAAGAAAGTTACAGGGCAGGTCAAAGCTATTTGGATTGTGACGTACGGGACATTCAGAGACTTTAAACAAGAAATAACAATAGATGAAATTATTTATATGGCTATCTTGTGGTATGAGTCTGTGGCTATTATGGGCTAGTTCGTTTGTGGAAAGTTTTAGTTCTGACCAATTGCGCCATGGGATCTTGGCCAAGTTTATCTCTGTATTCAAGTATTGTTAGGTCTTGCAAATTTTTCTCACGGTATCCGTGACGGGCCGTGGGAGGGAAAGAGGCTGCTGTCAGACGAAGGCTCCAAGGCGCACTACGGTTCGGCCCGCGGATACCAGTACGTTCCCACCCGGCCCACCACGTTCTGATGGGTCCCTCACGTTTCTCACGTTCTGATCAGGGTCTGACACGTTTTTCACGTTCTGTCGGGGCTTTCTACGAATGAAACGCAGACGCCGGGCAGCTTCGTACCACGTTTGTGCCCGCGGTATAAAAAGAAGGCCTCCCAAGCAAAAGCAATCATTGTATCATGAGACCGCGCGCGCCGTGTCAGACCGTCGTTGAACGCAACGCGCCGTAGCGCATCGGGCCCGTAAACCGTTGCACAACGGACCGACTCCAAGTTTTGTTACGGCCTATTACGTACTGTCATGTTTTGTTCCGTTTTTACTACGTCCTAATAGGTTTCTCATCTGCACCATGACTGCCGTGGCAAATTTGTTAACAGTTTAAAAATCTGGCCCGGCATTCACGGTAATCAAGCCCTGTCACGTTTGCGATTTTGCCCCCCCCCCCCTCCCCGCGTTGTCTCACGTCCATCCCATTTTGCCCACGGTGGCCTTAAACGTGATTGCTGTGGCCGCCGGGAACAACTTGTAAACGTAGCATAACCAAAAGCAAGTCTATAGTACGAAGCATACACTGCTAGAGTATGGAGAGATAATAGGGTAGGATAGCTAGAGCATAGACTCAAAGGCCCGAATTCACAAAGCAAGGTTTGAGCTCAAACCTCCTTTTGTTTCGCCAAACCTCCTTTTGTTCTTTACAAACCAGGTTTGTAAAAAACGCGTAAAACGCGTCATATGACGTACGAAAACCAAGGTTTGTCGACAGACCTCCTTTGTGAATTCGGGCCAAAGAGTGGGTGTATAGCCTTACCGGTTTGAGCTCAACTTTTGGAATAAAGCATCTCGACGCATCGCGGTCCATAAACATTGGCTCACTGAGACCAAAGTCAAAAACGAACGCCAAACATACCAAGGTGATCACACGCCCCTCCATGATTTTGTTTAAATGGATAATGTGTAGAAAGATACATCACCAGAATAATTTCGTGTTGTAAGACTGCTGCAGTAGCTTGTTTTTAAAATGGCGGCCTGGGGCGTTTCATCAACATTTGTCCGCCGACAACTGTCAGCGCTGACTAAATTTGACCAATCAGAGGCCTGGAAAATAGTTGGTGACCAAAATATTGTCGATGAAAAATAATATAAGTCGGTGAACACCATCATCTAATTGTTTCATGAAACGCCCCCTCCCCCTGTCCATCAAAATCGGAGAGGTACGTCAATCGTGTCTTTATTGTGAAAGCGGTGTTATAAGGCTTTATTTTTTGCACGCCGTAATGATTTTAATAAAAGGCTTAGTATTGTGTTTAAGGCTCATCGATTCCATTTGTCCTTAAAAGTAATAATGTCCTTAATAATAATAATATGGTTATTTACATATCGCCGGTATCCGTCAGGTTCTGACGCTCATAGGTTAACTCAACCGTACGTCATTCGTTAAGAGCCTAGAGATATGAAAGGATACACACAAAGGAAACTGGTCATGTGAACAGACTGTAACAGAAACTACGAATAAGTTATTGACTCTAGTAGACTCTCGTCTACCGAGAGAACTTTTTGACGTGACTGCTCCGAAACCCAGGAATAATATCCAAATTGATACAGAAAACTGTCATTGGTAATTAGGGGTAATTATTACATGTACAGTAGTTAAAGCTTCTAGTAGGGAAGCTTTCGACCACTCCTATGGACTTTTACAAGACAAGTGATTATACACTGGAGCGAAGATGAGTAATATAAGAGTCTCTATTAAATAAGGGATTAATTTGTCAAACTCACTAATGTGGGCATTATTCCATTGAATGTTGTGTCCAGTATTAGGGACTTTTAGATTTGCGTGGACTGATACGTGTGACGTCTATTCAAGGCAGTGCATTAAAAGGACGTCGGTCGTAGCAATCCCCATTGTCTTCGTGCGAATCTAAAAGTCCCTATTTACGGCGTGTTCTGCTACTGTTCGGATATGGAATTTCCAATCTGAGGGCTCTTTTTGTGCTCTTTTAAACAGAGCAAACAATAGGGGCAGTGCAATCTAAATTCCAAGGGATGGATTATCGCTCAATTTTTTATCGCTATCTAGAATGTTCTTAATTGCTAAAACTCGATTGCTCCCGACTCGTGGATCCTTGGCGGGGGCAATGTACCTGCAAC